TCCTTATCCTCTCCCTAACCCCTGACAACCACTGATCTGATTTCTGTTTCTATACTTCTTTTTTTTTCCAGAACATCATATAGATGAATTAATGCAGAATTTAGCCTTTTGAGTCTGGCTTCTTTCATTTAGCATAAGGCAATCAAGATTCATTCACTTCATTGTGTATATCAGTAGTTCCTTCCTTTTTCTTGCTGAGTAGTTAGTATTCCATTGTGTGGGTGTACCATAGCTTGTTTATCCGTTCCCCAGTTGAGGTAAATTTGTAGCAGAATAATGACCTCCAAAGGTGTTTACACTCTAATCTCGAGAAACTGAGAATATGTTACTTTATATGACAAAAGAGATTTTGCAGATTTGGTTAAAACTTTGAGATGGGAAGGCTATCCTGGGTATATATGGGAAGGTTACCCCAGTCTTATCACATGAGTTCTTAAAAGAGGAAGACAGAAGAATAGGTCAGAGAGATGTGACATGAAAAGGCCTTGACTAGGAGTTGGGCTTGATTTTGGTTTACATCTAGCAAGAAAACATTCTACAACCCCAAGTAACTGAATTTTGCTAACCTACCAAATGAGCAGGAAATGAATTCGCTGCTAGAGCCTCCAGAAGGAACTGCAGCCTGGTGAGACCCATAACAGACTTTGATTTTAGTCTGGTGAGACCCATAACAGACTTCTGACATACAGAACTGTAATATAATTATGTTGTTGTTTTAAACTATAAACATCGTGGTAATTTGTTATGGCAGCAATAGAAAACTAATGAAGGGACATTCGAGTTGTTTACAGTTTATGGTAATTTCAAATAAAGCCACTATAAACATTGACATACAAGTTTTTGTATGAACATAAGTTTTTCATTTTACTTGGTCAGTTACCTAAGAGTGGTTGGTATTGCTGGGTCATGTCTGCATCTTCCCTGATACTCTATATGAGAGTTCTGTGTGTCAATTGTTTTGATTTAGCCATTCTGATATATGTGTAGTGGTATTGCATTCTGTTTTTAATTTGCATTTCCTTAATAGCTAATGATGTTGAGCATCTATTATTTTGTTTATTTGTTGTCTGTATATCTGTATGGTGAAGTGACTTAATTTTTAAACAAATTTTTAAAGTTAGGTTCTTTGTTTTATTATTGTGATTTGAGAGTTCTTTATATATTTGGATACAAATCCTTTATCACATATGTGGATTGCGGTATTTTTTTTTTTCCAGTCTGTGGTTTATCTTTTGTTCTCTCACTATCTCTTTAGAAGAGCAGATGTTTTTAATTTTGGTGAAATCCAGTTTATCAATTATTTTTATTTATAGATCATGCTTTTGATACAATCTTTATTTAACCCAAGGTCACAAAGATTTTTTCCTATATTTTCTTTTTGGTTTACATTTTTTAGGCTTGTGAGTATTTTGAGTTAGCATTCGTATATGGTGCAACATGCAGATTGAAAATCATCCATATAGATCCAGTTGTACCAGCATCATTTGTTCATTGACTTGCCTTTGCACCTTTATTGACAATATATCGCCCATACATGTGGGTCTATTTCTGGACTCTATTCTGTTCCATTACTATATACGTTTATCCTTTCTCTAATATTAGTCTCTAGATTTACTTTATTTTTATACCTGAAATTTGATAATATGCATCTTTCAATTTTGTTGTTCTTTTTCAGAACTATTTTGGCTACTCTAGTTTTTTGTTTTTTTGTTTTTTCTTTTACTTATCTTTATTTTTAATAGTAGAAAGTTCATAGGATGATAGGCTGGCTTCATTCAGCCTCTCTGTTTATTCTCAGGAGAGTGGAGAGAATCCAGTTCTATCTTTTGTTATGACAGTTTGCCTGATTCTTTTCACCTGACTTTTGCTAAAATGGGAATATTCTGGCTGGTTTGGTCCTTTTTCTTTATCCTTTTGTTGCGGTATCTTCCCAGTATTTTTCATTTGGACAGGAAATTGACTTTTCCAATTTAGAAATATATTTTAAACCTTTAGTAATTCACATGTGTAGTTGTTCTCGATTAAGTTCTGCAGATCTCCCCAGTGCATTACTCTGATTTAAAAAAAAAAAAACAAATACACTGAGTCGTAAAGAAAGGATTGAGAGTAGAACTATATTTGGGGTAAAAGAAAGAAAGTTGGACTAGACTGGTGTTAGTTTGAGGACTTAAATCCCAGAATAGGCATAGGACTGTCTTATAATTCAAAGCCAAGACTGTAAAATAAGCCGCCTTAAGAAAGAGCATTGCAGATGGGAGAAGAGAATTAGAAAAATAAAAACAAGGATTTTTTTTTTTTTTTAATGGAAAGAAGTACAAAAATCATTGTAACATTCTTAACCCAAATCAGATTTAGCATTGTTCCCTCCTTCCCCCTTTTCACTCTCCCTCTTCTCTCTCTCCAGTTGTTATAAAATTCTTACATAGTTTTTATACTATTTGATAGAAATATTTAAATGTCATTTAAATGTAAATTGGAATATTTTTTAGTTTTCCTAACTCTGACACCTAGTTTGTTTTATCATCTGGGGGTAGTTTTATTTTTTTATTTTTTATTTTTCGTGCAACCAACGAGAAATAAAGGACATAGGTACATGTAGTTTTCTAATACTTTAAGACATTTCCTATTTTGTGTATATCTTGCCTTTCATGCTTTTTGGTGAAGATTTTTAAATTGTATTAGAGAACTCTGAATGTATATGATAATTTTGGTTTCAAAGTCTACATCTTGGAAAAATTAGGTTTTACAATTTCAAACTGTTTTTCTGAAATTTATCTATCTTTTCACTTTTCAGACACAAGGTGGTGTACTACACCTATCTGAAATTCTGTTGACTTTCTTCAACAACCTGAATAAACCCAACTTAAGATAAAACTGAACATTATAAAAGTTCACTTTAAGCACTAAAATGAATCGTTTATGACAACAGAAAGTTTTTATAGAGGGGACCAGTTTTATTTGAAGGGAATCCAAGGGACTTTTACAGAGAAAATAAAATGCATTAAAAATGCATTTCATTGCATTATTATTAAAATTTTTGTTTGGAAATAATTTTAGGCTTACTAAAATGTTGCAAGAATAAGAAAAGTACAAGAGTCATTCATATAACATTTACCAAGATTTACTTATCATTAACATTTTATTCCATTTGTACAGCTTCTCTTCACATACATGTGTATTTTTTTCCGAAACATTTGAGGCTAAATTATATACATCATGGCACTTTACCCTAAATACTACATTGTACTCTTCCTAAAGATAGCGATATTCTAGTTTATATAACCACAATACAGTGTCAACTTTAGTAAGTTCAACTTCAGTAAATTTAACACTGATAGAATATTTTTATCCAATCTGCCATCGGTATTCCAGTTTGTCATTTGACTCAATAACGTCCTTTACAGCATTTTTCCTCCTCCAGTTCAGCACTCTCAAGTCAATTATAACATTTAATTTTCATGGCTCTTGATCCTCCTTTGTCCTGGAATATTTCCACAGCCTTTCTTTGTCTTTTATAACATTGACATTTAACTCCCTCCTTTTTAGTAAAACATTACTCATTTACATTTTTGGTTTGTCTGATGATTCCTCATAATATAGGTTATACATTCTTAGCTAGGATAATGCTTGGATGATGTTTTGTCCTTAGGGTATTATATATGCTCATAGTCCTTTTAATGTTGACCTACATTATATTTTTGTTCAAGTCCTTTTTTTGTAAATTAACTTATATATGTTTAGAAGAAGAATTTAGTGTACATCAGGATGTATAAGAGCAAATAAACATTTTCTCTTAAAGGAAGATACTTAGAAATATTTCTTCTAGTAGGTAAAATCTAATTTGACTGTAAGACTTGAGGGTAGCACATTTTAACTTTATTCTTTGCAAAGCTCTTAATATAGTTTATTGCCAAGGAGCATCATTAATATCCTTGGGATCTGCCAGTCCATTCTGGTGAAAGAATAAAATCCGAGTAGGTGACATTAGACAGGAGGAAATATAAAACACAGAGAGCTATCTCAATTATAAATCTCTTAGATGTTATAATTAATAGCAAATTCAAATTATTTTGTAGTCTTTTTGAGTTTATGCTTGCATTAGTAACATTTTAACACAGAGCAAACGTAAGTGCCAAATATGCTGGTTGGAAAGAATATTGTAAACTTCTCAAAGAAATGATCAGAAATCTTTATCCTTTGGTTATTTGAGGAATCCGTTGTTATTAAGTGGATAGAACAGTTTTGTGAGTAGGAAAATTTCCTAAATATTTTTAGTATGTTAATTTTAGAGTGTATCTATAAAAGTTCTCAAAAGATAATAGATACTTATTTTAAATAAAATAGTCATTTTGAATATTTGCAGTTAATTAATTTTTCTTGACTTTTGCTGAAAACTATTTGTGGCATCGATATTAAGATAGTATAATGCCCTCTAAGAAAGAGCATTAGTTTAGTTTGCAGCTCTGTTGCAGACCATGGCAAATCAAAACTTTTTATGGTATGCTCTTATACTTAATCCATTTACTTTGGTTACATATGTATATTATATATAAAATAAGTATTTCTCATGTACTATAGACATCAAAGAATTTGAGTTACAAAATTAGATAAATATAAAATAATTTGAATGCCACAGTGCCCATTAAATCTAACAGTTGAGCTTGAAAAATTACTAGATTCATCAGTAAGTTATTTGTCCCATTAGTTACCCTGCAGAGTATTGGAAGGGAGAAAAAGTTACCTCCATGTTCTTTCCAGGTTTGCCCCTTGGTTTTACAAAGAAGTATACTGCTTAAATTGGTAGTAGTTTATAGCTGCTGTTTTTGACACTTGTGTTCATGTTTCTGAGTTTCCAGAGTGCACTAAATGGTACCCTCGGGGCTTAGAAGAATTCAGTGTGTCTTCCCAAGTGTCTAACTTCATTCTAGGATCTTGAGCTGTAAATATTATTTGATCGAGTATAATTTTAAAAATTGTTCTTATTTTTTTTCATTCCTCAGACAAGACATATGTATAGATTCTACTTCATCCATGAGAGAGAACAAGCAACCTGAAGGTTTGGAATTAAAACAAGGTATGAACCAGGTACTTAATTGTTATATAACTTTTACCCAAAGATTATAAGCATTTACAATAATACATTTTCACAGTGTACCAGCTTGTCCTCTATTTTATAGAGGACAGAAAAATTTATTTGTTCTGAGATCAAAAGAGTAAAGAATCCATCCTTAGTTTCATGACTTCTTTAGCCCCTGGAGTAGTTCTGCTTTAGTTATGTATAGTTATAGATGCCAGTAGAAAGTTGTCATTAAATATTTTTAATTTGGTAACCTTCATTGTATATCCTTAGCTGCAAGATATTAGAGATATGTTAACTTGGTAGCTTTGGGTGGTATATGGAAAAAAATAAGTTTGATGGGAAATCTCTTTTTTTGCGGAGATGTTTTGTTCTTGTTTACTTTCTTATTTATTTTCTATAAATCAGTAGTTTTTGACATTACCAGCTAGCAAATGTGAAGTGGTAATTTGTGATTTATTTAAGTCAAGCAGATCAACAGGGCTGATTTTTCAGATGTTTTGTTTATTTGTTTATTTTGTTCTCATCCTAGTTGGGAAAATTAAAAGTGAAAAATATTATTATTAGTTACTCAAAGAACATATCACATTTTTCCTTTTTCCTGCTAAAATTATTTTAAAGCAGTGATAACCTGTCACAGCCAAAGAGTTGTGTTATTATATAAGCAAAAATCCTTGGTGGCTTGGAATAATTTCTCTAAAACTTAAGTCATAGGAACTTATTTAGTAGAGAGAAGCAGGTTATCAGTTTATTTAGCCAGATGTTTTTTTTCAGCTGCGGTTTTTGTTACTAATGCTCAATTAACAAAGCAGAAAATGTTGGATAATTAATTTTGTGATTCATTCAATTTATACGTAGAGAGAACAAAATCTAGATTTTCTGTAGTTCTGACTTTTATACCCTGGGGTTTATAAATATTCTTGATGGCCTTGAGAATTCCAGTGCTTTTCGGAAGTCCCGTTGTTTAGTCTCTTAAATAACCAGACAAAATTATATTTTTGTATTCTGACCACTCTGAGCAACCCCCAGACATAAACTCAGATTCCTAGTTTTCATTTACATTTATTCGTCATACATAAATACACGCTAAGCATACATCATATTCATATAATATAGTCACAGTTATATAGCTCTTGCACCATGTATAATCGGACAACATTGTTTTTGTTTCTGCCTTTGTTTCTACTCTTTGCATCAAATGAGCAGGCAGTGTGGAAGTTGTGCTATTAGATTATCTGTGGAGAGAAGAATGTCATGTAAAAGGATAGAAAAAACTATAATGGTCAGGCTGATGCCAGTTCTTAGGGAATAAAGAATGGAGACCTTATTGTACAAATTAGCCAGTGCTGCCCTCTAAGTTGTTTTTCTCCTCCCATGTTCGGCACCTGGAACTCTTTAGAACTCCTTTCCCAGTGTCAACAGCCTGTTCTGTGATTTTTTTTTTAAGGTCACTTCAGTCATTTGAAAACCAGCCATGGAGGCAAATAATATCATGGACTAGCCAGATGTTATGAAGCTTTTAAGTGTAGGAGCTTTTATAGACCACTCTTAAGTTCTCACCTAGGTTTCAGAAACATCAAGAACACACTGTCATCAATCAGTGACAGCAGGCGGAGGTGAGAAAATATAGTATCAAAGTACAACAGTACCGTGGTACAGTACAGTTCATGTTCATGTTGTGACTAAATCTGTAGGAAAGTGTTCAATTAAGTTTCAAATCTTTCTTAAAGAAAGCAGGGAAATAAGTCTTCTAGAAAAATGTCTATAAAAATAGTTAATATATAAAATATTGCATAACAGGATAAATATAAATTACTTAGATGATTCAATTATGTAGAACATGTTCCAGATAAATAGTACTATAGCTCAATTATGAACCAGCTAGCAAGTAACTGGTTTGGAGTTCCCCAGAAAGTTAGAAACACCAGGAAATAGAAATCCTGGTAGACTCAGTAAAGATTATTGCCTTTTTCCTAAATGAATTAATATTGTCTATTTTTAATATGCAAGACTTTCAAAATTGATTTAGTATTATCTCTAACTTTTTTTGCGTAGCTAGCTATTCTTCTCACGGTGAGCTCAATAAAAATAGACTCTAATGCTCCTTATGAATACATTGTCATTTTATTTAATGGCTTGGCCATTTAAGAAAATTCATTGAAACTTTAGTACTAAAGTAACCCTTTGTTCAGGAGAGCAAAATATAAAGCAGCATTGAATTTTCTCTTTGCTCTTTTAGAGTAAAATAAATCTCACTGTATGACTTATTAATGGTGTATAATACCGACAGGTTATTGAAATTATATTTTTAGTTTTTTTCAGCTTCTCAAATACTCAACTATCGAGAAGTATTAACTACAAATTAGTTAAATTGAAGTGGCATTTTTTTGTCTAGTACTGGTTTCATTCATCTTGTCGATAGGAAATAACATTTATGAAACTGGCTGTGCTGAAGATGAGTATCAGATTGTACACTAACTTCTATCATACTTTAATAAGGGACCGATACGTTTACTGTGCAAACATTATTTAAATGTAAATATAATGTACTAGTTGATTGGTGCTGTAGTAAAATAGAAACTCTTCTGTTGGGATTATGTTCCTAAGTCATTCATGTTTAGCAAGAGGGCAGTTGTATAAGAAGCACCAAGTATAGTTTTGTTCTTTATCTTTAGCACAGCTGTGTTTGTGGGCACATGCACATATACATGTGCAAGCCTGAGATCTTATGTTAATTTCCTGGAGGATTTCAAGGCTTGTATTATTGAAAAGGTTTAGCTAAGCTTTTAAAATAATAATGGTTTATATAAATTTTCTAAATTAGTCATTTGTGCTATAGTTTAAAAAAATGAAAACTTATTTGTCAAAGGTTGTTTGTTGAAAGTATTTTTAAAATACCAAATCTCTGCTATTATTAATGAATTGTCTTCTTATATATTTATCTATAAATAAATTTGCTTAAGACATTCAGTAATATTAAAATGATGATCTAAATTTAAATTGTTGCTTTAATGTTTACAGTTGGGATATGTGTAATTTTGCAAAGTATTCTTCTTTGTAACCTCAGTAATTAAGCTCTTATATTTGCATTCCTTCTTAGAAGTTATTAGGAGAAATTTTTTTTAATTATACTTGAGAAATAGCTAAGTAGAATTTGAGTATTCAGGTTAAAGATAGAGGTCACTTGAAAATATTTGAAGGGCTGTCAGGTGGAAGAGTGATTGTTCTGTGTTGACTCTGAGAATAAAAATAGGGCCCATAAATAAAATTATTAGATGACTTATTTATTTCAGATAATCACAAGTATCAAAAAATGCAGTGGGCTGCCTTCTGAAATATGTTCCTGTTGCCTAAGGAAGATATTTGAGCACAGGTTGCGTAAATGGCCACTTGGTGGCACTGTTGTAGAGCAGTTGCAATCAGTGTTTGGAATTTTGGCCTTGATCTTGAAGTTCCTTTCTAGCTGTCAGATTTTGCAAAGACCAGTGCCTAGTGCAGTGTTTTCTCTTGGGAAAAGTGCTTAATATCTGTTTTCTTAGATAGCGTAATGGAAGCATAATGAAATATACATTTTTTTACTATCTACGTGTTTTATTCTATTAGAAGAAAATATAACTTGATTTAGTCTTTAGGCTATATGGTGGCTCCTTGAAATACATACATTTGAATATAGTCATAAAAACAAATACATAACCATATGGCATATAAAATGATCAAAATCAATAAGACATGTATTACATCTTACTCTGAATCTTTTACATTAGCTTTCTCATGCAGAGTTTAGCTGTGATTAGACTCAAATCTTGCCACTTTTTCTTTTCTGTTGAGAAAACATTGGTTTATAACATTATATATATGTTTTAGGTGTACAACATTATAATTGGACATTTTTTTTTTTAATAATCTAGTTGCCTCATGCAATTATATTTTGGCCTTCTAGTTCACTAGTTAGTGAATGATAGCTTTAAGACATACCTTGTTAACAAGAGCTTCAAGAAGTTGAAAGATAGACTTTAATAGGGGAAAATGTTTTGAATGGTTAAACTAGGTGATGAAAGTTTAGAATAGATATTTTCTTTGAGCTGCTTTCAGCATTTCAGACCACTGGTCACCAAAGTGTGTGACTATACATACTCCGAGAGAATGCAGGAAGAAAACAACAGAAATTCGAAAATAAATAAATATATATAAACATATATTTAAGTCTCTCCCTTTTAAAATTCCTGATTACATTTATATGATTGTTACAGTACATATTAACTTATAAGTAAATATGTAGTGTGGCAGGTACTTAAAAATGTTTTCATTTTATGTAGGTAATGGAGTTGAGAGCACTCTTTTAGACTATTATAAAGAATTGACAATGACCATAGCTTATTTATTTATTACTTCTAAAAACTTAAATGCGATATAAGAGATTTTGCCATCATTAGCAAAGGTAGCAAATATAAAACTATATGAGACCATTTGAATCCTTAAGGTGGGGAGAAATGGAAAAACCCAATTAATTTTACTTCTTATTGCTGCTGGTGCTGTTATTCTAAGATAGTATGGCATTAGGGGAAGCAAAGCTAGGTAAGTAGGACTAGAATAAAAAGAATGAAGAAATAAATTTGCAGTTAAAAAGGAATTGAGTTTTGCTGAAAGAACTTCACAACTGTGGCTGAACAAATAAATACAAATTATAAAAAATTAAAAAGATAATGAGAAAAATGCCATCCAATTTTATTGCTTTGCAAAAGAAAAGAGAAGGAAGATTATCGGTTAATTAGGCAGCATTTGTAGGCCAGGAGTCTTCCATGCCACCATCAAACTGATCCTACCAAAGGAAAGATAGTAGACACTAGGATTGAAATCAGATTTCATTACTACCAGTTCCTGATCCTTTTACACACACCACACTGTATGATTTAATTAGCAGTTTTGGTTGCCGCATTATAATTGATACATTTTGAGCTTATAGGTAACAAATTTTAATTTTTCAAAAATTAATATTC